GAGAGTTGGTAAGTTACTGCGTTCGCCTTTTGACATCTTGCCTCAAGTTCCCTATCAATTCTTCCATCATCTGTGAAGATGCTCCCCAAGTATTTAAATTGCTGCACTTGTTTGAGTTGTTCGTTGTTAACTTGAATCATGAAGTATTTAATATTCAAAATAAATGCACCTTGGTTTTTGCCACAGATTACCCCTAAAACATGTGCCATTTGATATTTTGTAAAGTTATACTAGTGCACCACAAAATGATCACAAAGTAACTTGTAGCCCAGTGAGAGTGTGTGTGTGTGTGATACTTGTCTTCCATCACAGGTCTGGTCATCTCAGATGTGTGTAAGCATCTGAATGTCTGTGTGTGTCTGCTTGCCTGATGAGTGTGTATGTGTATATATAAAGGTCTGATGTGGATATGAGGATGGAAGGAAAAGCATAAATCAAAAAAGGCATCTGTTGAATTGTTTTATTGTTGCCTGAAAAGTGTACAATTTGAAAGTAACATTATGTAAAGGACCCTTTTCGACATCATTTTTCAGACGTATTGAACATATAGGGCTAGACATATTTTACAGACCAATTGGCACTCTGTGGGTGATGCCGTCAACATTACGCTGACCGCCTCCACTTCCCAGGACTTTATCTGTTATCCATTTAAGGCTGGGACGGCCATGGGAGCCAAGGTCATTTTTTTTAAAGATTCGGCTCTGCCAGAACCTGAACCTACAACTTTCGGATCCACAGGCGAGCTTGTAGCCACTATACTACTTCGACTCATACCACATGACAAATCCAAGCATAAATAAGTGTGTATGTATATATATATATATATATATATATATTTTTTTTTTTTTTGGTTGAACATTTTGGACAGTACACCAGCTACTTTCTGCCAGATATAAATTATAAAAATCTGATTACACAAAAATAATTTTAAAATGGCACATTGAAAAGGGCACTTGCATGAACAATTAGTATACTGACAAATCTGTTTGGTGTGTGTGTGTGTGTGTGTGCGCGCACGTGCTGCCCGCTCATGCACACACACATATACAGATTACAAAGTAAATCTGAATACATGTTAAATTTACTGAAAGATAAAATAAAGAAAACAATGAATGGCAATTAAGACATGCTGAACATAATATGTCTGATAAAATCTTTTAGAACAAACATAATTTTCAGACTGACATAATTCAGCGGCACAGTAATGCATTCCTAGCAGATCAGAGATTACACCAACCCCTTATGAGAGACATGGACACACACACAGCTTCAGATGTGTGCAAATACCTTCACACTGCAGCTGTAACCTATTGAACTATTTCAATGGAGTGAAATAAATTCTGTCCGTATTCCATAGTACTAGATATTTTAACTCTTCCTCTCTCGCAGACAGGTTTTATTCTAATGCACACTGTCACGTGTTACCTTAACTCTTCCTTTCTCTCAGACAGGTGTTACTCTAATGCATACTGTCACGTGTTACCTTAACTCTTCCTCTCTCTCAGACAGGTGTTACTCTAATGCACACTGTCACGTGTTACCTTAACTCTTCCTCTCTCTCAAACAGGTGTTACTCTAATGCACACTGTAACATGCCTTAACTCTTCCTCTCTCTCAGACAGGTGTTACTCTAATGCACACTGTCATGTGTTACCTTAACTCTTCCTCTCTCTCAGACAGGTGTTACTCTAATGCATACTGTCACGTGTTACCTTAACTCTTCCTCTCTCTCAAACAGGTGTTACTCTAATGCACACTGTCACATGCCTCAACTCTTCCTCTCTCTCAGACAGGTGTTACTCTAATGCACACTGTCACGTGTTACCTTAACTCTTCCTCTCTCTCAGACAGGTGTTACTCTAATGCACACTGTCACGTGTTACCTTAACTCTTCCTCTCTCTTAGAAAGGTGCTACTGTAATGCACACTGTCACATGTTATCTCAACCCTTCCTTTCTCTCAGACAGCCTTCTTCTTCCGAAATTCAAACCTGTGAAACTTATGCTGCAGATATCACCTGCCTCAATTCATCTCTGTGACTGGCCTTTTCTTTTCAGTTGGTTACTCAAAGTGTTTCTAGGTCTGCTTGCATTTTATTTTATCCCTCCACGATCCTCACTGTGTCCTCTCTGTCATTTTAACCCTTCATATTCCAAAAAGTCATGATTAAAAAAAAAAAGATTCTGACCCACATAAAAGCAACAGATCATGTGGATATAAAGATATCAGTTAGCAGCAAAATAATCATTTTTTCATATTATTCATTAAACAAAGTGTTAGGTGTTAGGTTTCATTACAAACTGTAATCATTTCCCATTCTTGGTTGGAATAATGGTTTTGTCCTTGCTTGGGTCCATGAACTCCTTGTCAGACATGTCTGTGATGTTTGTGCACTCTCTAATGGCAGAGTTAGGAACCTGAAAAGATAATATATACATTATAAAATTAATGCATAGCTACTTAAAAGAACATTGTTTTGTCAAAGTTTTGACACTCAAAATCTGTGTTATTTAATGAGTGAAAATGTTTAAATTGTTAACAAGAATTCCTTAGGGTTGAACCAATGAATTGACACTTTTTTTGCATCTTGGTCGTCTTCACTTTTTTAAGTATACAGGTTTTGCCGTCATCTAATACAAATGCACCATCGGATAACTATGTGTTTCCCCATTTTTGAACAGTATATAAATAACGCTACTTTACATGTTTCATCTGTGATTTGTAGTTCTTACTGTTCCGCAATTTTACTTTATGTACTCCCCGTGTGGGTTCCAGACCCCCATTGTGGGGAAAACAAGAAGAGACCCACTGACTCCTCAACAAGCACGTCATAAGAGTCGACTAATTAGAAGCTTCCTTCAAAGTCAGAGTGCATCTGCTTAAGCGGCAAGGAACAACCAATTGCAAAAAAATAGGCCAGTAAAACGGATGTACACGCAAAACTCAGGCCCTGGCACAAAACCAAAGGCTACATGGACGAACAACCAGGACTTTCCGCCGGAGCTTACAGCAGGTGAACAAAGAGGAACAATTTTTATGACGGGAAAGTTGGAGAGGAAAATAAGATACTGAAAACTCAGAAAGAATGTTGCAGTGGAGATTATCTGAAGGCTCAAAAAGGCGCCACTCGAGACTCAGAGGAAATGCAAGACAGGTACCATCAGAATAGTACTCCTTGCTGGTTGTTGAGGATGGAGACAGGGCTAACAGGTGCTTGTCCTGTATGCTGTTATGTCAAATCTTTACCCGGATAAATCCAGATAGAGAGGAAAAATGGCAGAGGGAGACTGAGAGAGAAAATGCTACATAGTTTGACATTACCCCTGTGTGGGTTCCAGGGCCCTATTGTAGGGAAAGCAAGAATAGACCCACTGCCTACCCAAAAGCATGTCGTAAGAGTCGACTAATTGGGAGCTTCCTTTGAAGTCGGAGTACATCTGCCTGAGAGGCAAGGAACCAACACTCTGCACACAAATGCGTCAGATCTGTCAAACAGATGCACATGCAACACTCAGGTTCTGGACCAGGACTGCAGTACAGAAGTGGACGAACAACCAGAAATTTTGACCAGAGTTTACAGCTGGTGAACGCAAAGAAGAAGAAGAAGTTTGACATCGTAACATGGAAGATCATCTGTGTTAGAAATTAAAGAAAGTACATGAGATAAAAGGCAGTGGATAGAGATGACTACCAACAATACAAGAGATTGACTATAAGACGAATCAGCACAGCTGTATTCCCCGTGTTGGCTCTGGAGCTTCATACCGGGTTAAAGAAAAAACAACAAGTACAGAACCACTGCCACGACTAAAAAACAGTAAACCTGCCTATCTGCCTTAATGACCAGACCATTCAAGGGTTGTACTCCTAGAGAAACTCAATGAAACAAACCTTTGTCAAGGGAGTGTACTGTGGATGATGATGTTCATAGACTGGGTTATTGCTGGCATGGTTTAAGTGCACAAGAATGCCCTTCAACAAACATTCTAAAAGAAACTAATTAAGGGCTTGTTGAAACTGGATGTGTTGGACTAAAAGGCGCAGATATAATAGCCCAAGATCCACACAAAAATACCAGCAGCCCCTTTTAGCAGAAGAATTAGTAGAGCTGTGTCATTCTTGTAATTGTTATTGTTCAGCCTGTCTTATTTTACATTAAACGGTATGGCTGAAGCACTGAAAAAAAATCATCAGAACAATCAGCTGTATTCTTCTTCTTCTTCAGCGATCAATATTTGCTACTTTTCTATTCCAGCAAGGGTCACAAACAAGACAGTGCACTTGAGATTTTAGCTGGCTTGAGGAATGCAGCAACTATGTGGTCGGCCATCTGCTGTGGAGTCGGAACTGTAACAAATGAACTTATAAATCTTAAGGCAATGAAATGGGTCTTTCTTTCACTCCAGTCAGGTAGTCACAGTTCCAACCACAACAAACAAGTCACCCCATAGTTGCTACATTTCTGTGCCAGCGAAAGCCTCACAGAAATTCCATCAATGTCATTTGTGGGGAAAAACCAGTCACAGGCTGTGGTCCTAGCAAATCCAACAGAATACATGCATATTAAATGCATGTGTGGCAGTAGTCAGAAGTGCCAACACAAACAGACCGACACTAGAAACTGAGTTTATCATCAATGGAAGCAGGAGTTACAACATATCAGTTGTTGCACTTGCAATTAATCGCATAAGGCACCACAACTTCTCTGGCAACAGGCCACTTGCCATTATTCTGAATTTGCGGTTCATAACAAACCATATTGGGCACAGTCAAAAAGCCTATAAAATCAAATCTGCAGCTCAGTGTTGTGCCGTTTACTCAGCTTAGTAGCTACGTGACGGAACTATATCCTTTCAGTCTATGTATAGAGGAAAATGCAATAGCTAACTACTGTCAGAAGCAAAAACTTGCCATGACTAAAAAACAGTAAATCTGCTTATTTGCCATAAAGACCAGACCATTCAAGGGTTTTACTCCTAGAGAAACTCAATGAAACAAACCTTTGTCAAGGGAGTGTATTGTGGATGATGATGTTCATAGACTGGGTTATTGCTGGCACGGTTGTAAGCGCACAAGAATGCCCATCGTCTGTGGGGACTCTGGTTTGGTGCACTATTGTGCAACAAGTTGGAGTGGAAAAACAATGCATCACCTGCAGAAATGAGCAAATAAAAGCAATAAAAAATATTCAATATCATCATTATTGTCACTGTCTTGATAGGACAACAAGTGTAACAGACATGACTATTTTGTAATAGTTGTCTGTTGTAAAGGTTAAGTCGAGAGAGGTGAACCAACATCACTGCACACGGTTATAAACCATAAGTTACGGACAGCTGATAAGAAACTGTCCCCCTGTGTCGCTGACCGCACGCAACAACGTAGCTACAGGGACATTCCTCTGTTTACCCCAGAGTGTTAACTTGTGTTAACTCTGGTACCTATTACCTAGAGGCTGGGTGAATCCTGGGAACCACCCGGTTTTGATCACTGGCCATGGGCAGCTGGATTTGAAAGCGAGTCTCCTATCCACTGCACTAACGCAACCCCCAAAGTTGTCTGTTGTGAGAGTGAGAATACTTTTAGCTGTTTACTTTATTTATTCATTAAAGAGTAACAGGTGAAATGGTTTGGCTTTTTGATGAGAATGCTCTGGCTGCAGCTGCCACAGAGAACCATGCTGAAAAAAATAGAACAAACACAGAGCAAAGGCAAGACCACACAAAAGATGGGATGATGTCAAAAACAGCCTCAGGATTGAGGCCCACAAGGTTTGAACCTAGACTACTGTTATGGCTGACACATTAGAGAACCGCTTAGAGTCATAGTCGAGGTTTCAACATCACCTCAATCGGGTTTCCCCAAACTTGCATTTAAAAAAAAGTGTTTGTTGCTTTCTGATATGAGGGGGCTTTAAATGAAAACTTTAAAAGTAACTATGCATGCCTGTCAGTCTAGCCAGTGTATGAGTGGGGCGGGAAATTTCAAAACAGTTGAGACTTCTGTGACAGACTTTGCCTGATCCGGCTGTGTACAACCCGTCACAAACATTGTGTCGTTCTGAAACTTCTTCCTCCACTCACACACCTGCTGGACTGAACGGCTTGCATCACTATAGTGGATCTCCATTCGCTGATGAATTTTTATAGGTTTCATCCTTTCACCTATTTAAAAAAAACCGCTGTGACTCTTTGATATATATATGTCAAAGGTGGGACAGCCATCTTTAAATTGGCATTCTGACATCATCACCTGCATGTTACATCACCTGCTTAACGCTCTTGACATCCTTAATAACAGTATTAAAAGGTTACAAGACATGGTGATTGTAATTTCTATCAAACTATTAAGGTTTTTACTGGAAGCTCCCAGGTACAATCAGTATGAGCTATACACATGTAATTACGGCTGAGTCATCTTACCTACTTCTTCTTTAGCATTCCAAACCCTTGAGATTCACTGCTTCAGCTATCACCCACCTTCATTTGTCTCTGTGACTGGCTGGAGACTATGTGTTTGTAGGTTCATTATCTTCTTGGTCCGACTTGTTGTCTTCTCCTATTCACGTCATTTGTGTATGCAGTTTTTGTGTCTCTGTTATCTGCCATTATGATTAAAACAGTTTGCATCTCATATGCCATCATACATGACAAGAATCAACACATTACCGGTGTGTTGGGAAATGAATAGGCGGACAGACTGGCTGGCTCAGCACAACTTGGTGGAATACTGATACATGATAAGGCAGACGTGGCTAGTGCTTTGTGGGAGAGCGTGTACAGTTTGGAGGAGCAGATGAATTACCACAGTCTAGTCAGATTAAAGCAGTGGGGTGTGAAAAGGGGTTCTGGCAGATGCTCGAGGCTCAGAGGAAAGGCAAGACGGACGTTTAATCAGAATGCTACTGGCACCATTAGTATCGGAACTCTGCGATGGCTGTTGAAGATGGGGATGGAGCGCTCATGGGAATGCCCCAAGTGCTGTGATGTCAGGTCTAGAATCAAATAAAATCAATCAAATAAAACACATTACCATTTCATAAATGCATAAATTATAGCTTTACCTGGTTCCAGTTCCACGTACTTCAGAGGCAACACCTTTTTCAACTGTTCAACCCTCTCAAGATCTGCTCCGGTTTGTCCTCCCACCATGACATGTTCAATACGGCCACACTTGTGAGAGCCTTCCAGAATCTAACAACAGAGAACAGGTCTGCAGAATGAAAAAGTCTGTATTCTCATATAAACAAAATAATGACTGAGTGGAGTGGTAGCTATACGTACCTTAACATACGGCTGCAAAACACAGGAGCTTAACTCCCTCGACATAAGAAGCACAAAACCCCTGTGCTTTCCATTTGTGCCACGGCCTCGTAAAATTTCCCTTTTACGGCTTGCTATAGAGGCTTGTTTATGATGAACCACTCTAACAGCATTGCTTCTATTTTTTTTTCCTGGGCAACTTTTTAGAATGACCAGGAATATGCTTAACTGCTAAATATAGCATTTAGATGGGAGTTTCGTTTTGGAAAATGGCTTTATTCACAGAAATTAGGACACAATTTCACTCGCTCTCTCATCAGGTGCATAACACAGCAAACAAAATGGCATGGCTGTTAACTTGTGTTTGCCCAGGTGAAATAGGTCTTCTTCATATTCACCGACTGTAAACTCCAGCAGAAAGTCCTGATTATGAATTCACTTCTGGACATTGGTTTGTTCCAGAACTTGAGTTTTGCGCGCAGATCTGTTTTACAGAAATGACATTGTGCATGCAGACTGTTCGTTCCTTATCTCTCAGAAAAAAGCACTCCGACTTTGAAGGAAACAGCCATAATTAGTCACTTTTTACAACAGGTTTGTTAGGGGGACAGTCAGTTTATTCTTTTATCCCCCAAAATCCACCGAGGAAGGGAAAACATTCATTTATTCATTTCAAAGGATTCATATATTTTCTTCAACTTTTGCTGTAGTATGCATCTGATGAGATACAGCAAAATATTCAAGGCAATAAATTATGCAATCGATTGTTTGTGCTGTCTTGGCTTAACAAATTGTTGTGTTTAACCAGCATCCCCAGAAAGAGGGGGGGGGGGGGGGAGACTTTTGGTCAGAATTGCGACTAGGTTAATGTTAAAATGGCTTGGCATTGCTTGCCACCAAATAGCCCAGAAAAAGGACTTGTAGTGTTGATGTGATTGAGAGAGACAGACCCAAGTACTGTCCCGACCATTGAGGAAGCTATCTACCGGTTAGCCAATGGGTTACCCGGTCGCTGAAGATGATGTTTTCTATCTTTCTTTGTAGGAACAAAAATAATAATAACACTGTCAACCAGTATACAAAAGTTTATAAGAAGAGAATAAGGAAGGTTCATGTAGGACAAGCAATTTGGTACAGTAAAAAAAAAAACTTTAGCAGCAAAATCACACTAAGGAAGAACACCTAATTTTTTCCTTATGTAAAAATACACACAACTTTCAAAGTAAATCTAAGCACATCTGCTCATGTTAAAGTTAGACATATCTGTCAAACACAGCATCAGTGTTTATAATCTCTCCCTTCCCAGCGTCAGCGATGACAATACACAATAAAATACAAGCTTTACACAGCTAATGCAGTCGCTGTGGCGCAGCGGCTAGATGCTCGCTTGCAGATCAGAAAGTCGTAGGTTCGCTCCCTGGCAGTCTTTTTTCAGAAATGACCTTGACCTCCAGGTCGATCCAACAGTGAGTGGGTACCGGATGCAGTCTCGGGAAGTAAAGGCGGCCGGCGAGATGCTGACCACATTACCCATTGAGTGCCGACTGGTCTGTAAAAATATGGGTGCTCTTCCCATATGCCCGATGCGCCTAAGGGCCTGTAAAGGGATCTTTACTTTACTTTTTCACCTTTATGCCCTATATGCGTGGAAAAGGGTCCTTACTTTTTTGTTTTTGTTTTAAACTATTACACAGTAAAGAGAACACTGGAAATATCTTACTACACTTATTGTGTAAGTGGGTTTACAGTATCCTAGTAACAACTGACTCAGTCTAATTAATCAAGAGAAGTAATTAAACCAAGAAATTCTCCCCACAGAGGTTCCATAACTCCATTTTAAAAGGCATGTTTGCAAAAGGCAATTAAATTAGGTTTACTTGAAATCAGATCTGTGGTGCTGAAAGGTACAGATACCACAACTTAGATGTAAACCACAACACAAAATGTCAACAGTCCTTTTAAGAGTGGATGTTGAAAAAAACTCCATTTCAGAAAATGAAAAATATCTTATGCAATAAATCGCTCTTATGTAATGTCAGAAAGAGGGTGCTAAAATGTTACATAGAAACCTGTTCTGCTGTATGGCAGCGAATCCTGGAATGTCAGTGAACAAATGAGGAAGATCTTGGAAGCAGCAGAGATGTGGTTTCTGAGACAAATGTTATGAATACCTTGGACAGCCAGAGTAACTAACAACGATCGCTTGAAAGAAGCTAATAAAAGTAGATCTCTATATATAACAATAAGAAAGAGACAAACACTGTTCTTTGGCCACATAATGAGAAGAGAGACATTGGAGAACATCGTAACAAGTGGAAAGATCAGTGGAAAAAGGGGTAGAGGCAGACCAAGAGAGATGATGCTGGATGGGCTGAAACGATGGCATGGAGGGATATCATCAAGAGAGCTGTTCCAGGCAACCAGGGATTGTGATCTGTGGAGACGCATGAGCGCCCACGCCAGTTGGCAGTGCACATGATGATGATTATGATGATGTAGAAGAATACAAAATTTAAAAAAAAAAAAAAAGATATTTGTACCTGAAGACAGCCATTCTCCTTCCAACATTTGTCAATGGCGATGAAAACAGTCAACATATCAGGAAACAGGCAGCCATTTTTGTACCAGTATCTGAAAAGCAGACATTTTATAACGATTTCTGTGCAGGCGCCATTGTAGTTACTGCACTGGTTTATTAATACAGTGATTTATTTGTGCTCCCTGTAGATTTCTGTTGTAAACTGTATATTTAGAGAAAAGAGTGTGGCTGGTTCCTGCAAAACTGGCAGTATGCCTTATGCAGTAATATGTGTACACCTGCTGGTGTGTCATGACTGCTGCTTTTATCATCTATAAACTGCACTTGTGGTAACAAACTGTTTGTGTTGGCATCTCTAATGACTGCCTAAAAGCACTGAATCAATGGGTGTGCTGCTAGAATTTGTCAGGATTACTAACTGTTTGACTTTTCTCATGGGACAGTGATAAGCATTGTAATGAGGGGGAATTCCAATGAATCCCAAAGGGTTTCCCAGTATGAAAAAGTTAGGGTCAAGGGGCAGTTAAACAAGGAAAACGTGGGAAAGGAACACTTGCAAATTCCTGTGTTTGCGTGAGCGACTGCAAGTGGAAACCCTTGGGATGAGAACAAAGGTTTGGAGGCGAAAAAGTAGGAAAGTCAGTTGGTATTTGACAGCCACAACCAGAGGTTGAGTTGTGCAATAGAAACGACTGCCATGATGTCTGACTGCTGACAAGGTGAAGAACCCGAGTGGCTGAGCAGAAGTAATCCTGAACAGACATCCTGAGTGACTGAAGATTTGAGGCGCTGTGTTGGAGATACAAGTCATTAGCATAAATGGAGTGCAAAAAATGAAAAGGTAATGATCTGCGACTTCAAGCTGTATTGTTGAGATAGCAGTATCGATACCAGGCTCTAGATAGACCAGTGAGAATCTGATACAGCGACTGGACAACATGTTTGTCAGAACAGAAATAATGAATATGTATGTAATCCCTGCGTGTCGCCAACATCTGTGTTTGCACTCATTTAACACCTCAGCAGAGGGTCTGACTATAAACTGAAAGCCAAAACATCGCAGGCATTATATGTGGATTCCATTAGCACAGGAATGGAGCCCTTACAAAGGCTTCTGCCTGCTCTTCTGCAGTAATATCAGGTCGTGCGTTTAATCTACCACGAACCATTAACAAGGATATCATCAGTTTGAGGTCTCTTAGGTTCCTCCAAAACTCAAGTGTCAAGTCTACTGGCTACCTGTTGCTTCACAGCTTCTCCGGGAAAGGACAGTCTTGTAAGACATTTTTTGGAATCTGTTTAGCATGAAGTCATTGACAGAGAACTGTGTGACTCATATCTAATTTTTATCAATGTCCAGTGCGGAAGCAAAAAATGGTGACTCTGTCATTTTATTCAGATGACAAGAGGACAGCCAGCATTTTTAATGCATTTCATGAGAAGGGGAAAACTGGAGAACACCATGACAACGGGAAAGCTGGAGAACACCATGACAATGGGAAAACTGGAGAATACCATGACAACAGGAAAACTGGAGAATACCATGACAATGGGAAAACTGGAGAACACCATGACAATGGGAAAACTGGAGAATACCATGACAATGGGAAAACTGGAGAACACCATGACAATGGGAAATCTGGAGAGCACCATGACAACAGAAAAACTGGAGAACACCATGACAACAGGAAAACTGGAGAACACCATGACAACGGGAAAGCTGGAGAACACCATGACAACAGGAAAACTGGAGAATACCATGACAATGGGAAAACTGGAGAATACCATGACAACAGGAAAACTGGAGAACACCATGACAACAGGAAAACTGGAGAACACCATGACAACGGGAAAACTGGAGAACACCATGACAACAGGAAAACTGGAGAACACCATGACAATGGGAAAACTGGAGAATACCATGACAACAGGAAAACTGGAGAACACCATGACAACGGGAAAACTGGAGAACACCATGACAACAGGAAAACTGGAGAATACCATGACAACAGGAAAACTGGAGAACACCATGACAATGGGAAAACTGGAGAACACCATGACAACGGGAAATCTGGAGAACACCATGACAACGGGAAAACTGGAGAACACCATGACAATGGGAAAGCTGGAGAACACCATGACAACGGGAAAACTGGAGAACACCATGACAATGGGAAAGCTGGAGAACACCATGACAATGGGAAAACTGGAGAACACCATGACAATGGGAAAGCTGGAGAACACCATGACAATGGGAAAGCTGGAGAACACCATGACAACAGGAAAACTGGAGAACACCATGACAATGGGAAAACTGGAGAACACCATGACAATGGGAAAACTGGAGCAGAAGAGAGAAAAAGGGAGACATAGTAAAATGTTAAACACTTGGGATCCTGACACACAGGGATATATGTATAAAAATTATTGGCAGTACATATAAAGAAGGATGTAGAGAGATATGGTAACCAATGAGATATGAGATAGACTTTATAATGAATGCCAAGAACAGTAAATTCTTATATGCAGTCAGAGAAAGAAAGCAAGAGAAAGGCTAAGAAGGAGTGAAAGAGAGAACAAAAGTGAGAGACAGAGAACTAGACAGAGAGAAAGAGAAAGTGTGTGTTTGTGTGTGTGTATTTAACATGAAAGCTATGGCCATTGTCTATCCAATACAATGATAGACTGTAAGTCTAAGTCTCCTGAGAACTGCTTTGTCTACGTAATGGGGTCCAACTCGCTTAAGGTGATGTAACGTGTAAAAGAACTTTATCTGATAGCAATTTAGTTACGGCTGTTGCCTTGCACATCTTCTCCCGTATTCACATGTAACCCAGACAAAAGTGTGCACTTTTCTCAGAGAGATCTTAGTTAAGTGATTTTGTGTATTCCTGTTGCTACATGTAACACTGTATTCATGCCAGGTGCTGATGTTGAATGTTGAATCTTGTATTAAGAATTTACATTACAGCACTCTGGACACTCCCATAAACGCACAGTCCCCCATCTTCAGCAGCAAGCGAAAAGTTCCAATTCCGATGGTACCAGTAACCATCTGATTGTATATCCGTCTCATCCTTCGCCTGAGTATTAAGCGCCAGCCAGATCCACTGGTAACTCCTCGCAGCGCCGTTCTCCTTAGACCGTAATGATCTATCTGCACCTCCTCCCTGTTCACTCGCTCCCAAAGGGTCCTCACAACATCTAACTTGTAATACATTCAATTCACCACCAAGTGGCGCAGAGCCAGCCAGTCTAACTGCTTGCTCATTTCCCAACACACCATCATTACCTGGAGAAAATATCCAAAGGATGCTAACTACCTGGGACCTTTGAAGAGATGCCACTTCATCAGGTGCTGATGAAGGCACTCTAGCCACAACGTTTACTTGCTGTTTTGTGACTGAGATAATATGAGGTTGACTAATCCTACTTTTCATATGGTATGATATCTTTTCATGATTGAGAGGGAGGAAATGAGAGAAAGAGAGTGAGCGACTAAGAGAGAAAGAGAGAGTAACAGAGAGTGAATGATTGACAGAGACAGTGAGTGAGTGATTGAGAGACAGAGAGATAGAGAAAGAGAGTGACAGAGACAGAGAGAGTGACTAAGAGAATGATAGAGAGAGAAGTGACTAAGAAAGAGAGAAAGAGCGAAAGACAGAGAGAGGGAGAGAGAGAATGAGCAACTGAGAGAGGGTGATTGACAGAGAGAGAGAGAGTGAATGATAGAGAGAGAGGGTGAGTGAGTGAGTGACATAGAGAGAGAGAGACAGAGATAAATAGGGAGACATAGAGGAAGAGACAGGGAGAAAGAGGGAGACAGAGGGAGAAAAAGAGAGAGAGATAGAGACAGACACAGAGAGATTGAAACAACACTTACCCATAATCCTGGTGCCAAACATGTTCCCCACCAGTGTACGGCTCCTTCATCATCAACTTGGTGTGGTAGTGGTAAACCTCTCCTCCAAGCAACTGTCAAGAGTCATTACTAGTTAGCATCAAAACTATCATCATCACTGTCTCATTCAGAACTTTGCCATCAAAACACTTTTCTTCTTCTCTGTTTGCCCATAAAAGACCATGTTAGGTTGTGGTTTAAAGCTAGGTTGCAATATCTGCGCCTGCTGGTCCAAAACATCCAGTTTCAGCAAACCTCTAATTTACCACCATTAGGAAAGCCAAAGCTACGTACCGGTAAATGATTTCATAGAATATCAAAGAATCAAATGGTTTGATCATCTGTTTAGAATGGAACAAAATCAGGTAGCTGGTAGCACATATTGAATGAGAGTTACAAGGCAAGAGGCTGACCAAAACAGAGATGGGTGGAGGGAGTAAAAGAGACACTACAGAAACGCAGTATGATACTGACACAAGCTACATAGCTTCCTGTCAAAATGGAGGATTGGGCATGGCAGAATGTTTAACTTTGAAGTTATTTTTGCTTCTGACAGTGCTTTGCTAATGCAGTTTCCTCATATGGACAGTAGTCTAGTTTCGCTGCTTGAGTTTAGTACTTGGTGCAGCCCTGTGAGCTTGTTTTTCATGTGGAATGCCTTTCATTCATGTAGCGGTTGTGTCAGGGTATTCAATAAGGCCGGTAGCCAGTTTATGTGTGAGCTGGTGAAACACCCTATGTGGTGGTTCTACATGTGTATAGCCAACTGATCATGCCTGACTACGTCCACCAATGACAAACTGTGTTTCTGGTGGTGACTGTTGGGTTTGGCACCTCTAGTAACTGCCATAAGAACTGCCAGGTTCTCTTTAATGTCATCATACGTCAACTAGGGTTTTGGAAGACCACCACTCCTCCTCTTCCTTCTTCTTCTTCTCCTCCTTCTTCTTCTTCTTCTTCCAGAATAATACCTTTCATAAGTGTTCACCTTGAGCTTGTGAAATTTTTCTTTTATTTCTTCTTTTTCTTAATGTTTACCGGCTGTAAACTCAGTTTAAAAAGTACTGGTTGTTTGTCCACTTTTGGATGTTAGTCTTGTATAAGAACCTGAATTCTCCTTGCACATCTATTTTATAGATCTCGTTTACATGTATGCAGACTATTGGTTACTCACCTCTCAGGCAGATGGGCTCTGATTTTGAACGAAAAATCCCTAGTCGCCTTTTACGACGTGCTTTTTTTGGGAAGCAGTGGGCCTGTTCTCCCACCACCCTCTTCCCCGCCTAAACTGGGGCACCAGAACCCGCAATGGAACAAAGCTGATTAACAAAAGCAAAAAAGGAAATAAATAAAACACAAACTTTTTCTGATGTTCCGACGACCTTCTCACATCGCCCAACCATGCCAGTCACATCTTTGCCTGGGTGGCTCCATAAACAAAGTCTGCTTTTTCGTCCCTCACTGTCATTTACCTGAAATATTCCCATACCTTCAGATACATTATTTTTTTTCTATTTAACAGGTACCCAGTATTTCTATTTTCATTTTGCCATTCTTTTTCCATCTCTATATCTCTCTGTCTCTCCAACTCATACTAACATTCTCAATCACACACTCATTTTTTCTCACATAAGTACAGACACATATGCATATATATGTGAATACAGACAAACATACACAAAAGGATATGGATATAGGAACCCACACACACTAAAAAACACACAGACAGATACATACATTCAAGGACAGAGAAATGCACACTTGGATACCCACATAGGCAGACTGACTGACAGGCAGACATAAAGCTTTTTTACCTGATTACGACTTTGTTTACATGTTTAGAATTTTCTTAACCCAGGATACATTTCTGTTGATTTAATAATGGCTGAAAAAACATGAAAACTAATGTCATAATGCCAGGGCTTTTCTCTGGCGATACACAAGGTACATGGTACCAACAGCTTTTTAGTGCGATTGTAGTAGACACCTTGTTGTGAGTACCAACAGCTTTTTAGTGCGATTGTAGTAGACACTTTGTTGTGAGTACCAACAGCTTTTTAGTGCGATTGTAGTAGACACCTTGTTGTGAGTCCCTTTCCACGCCTTTAGGCGTATAGGGCTAGACCTATATTTTTATAGACCAATCGGCACAAGATGGGTGATGTGGTCAGCATCACGTCAGCTGCCTTTACTTTCCGGGACTGCAAACGGTACACCTGGTCAACCTGGGAGTCAAGGTCATTTTTTTAAAAGTCTGGCTCCACCAGGGATTGAACCCATGACCTTCAGATCCACATGCAAGCTTCTAATCGCTACGCCATGGTGACTCCGATGTGGTAAGTACCAGCACCTTTTTATTCCTAGAGAAAAAAACCTGGATAATGCAAACCTGAAAAGAGTTTTTGACAAGTGCATCCGTACTCTCAAGAGCCTCCTTGACCTTTGAGAGCTCCTCTTTATCCAAAAGTCCTCTGTGGAAAACAAAAATATTTACTGAGCATTGATAGCACAACAGAAAGTGAAACTATGAAAGCAAGAATATCATCAAACAACTAGATCAGGGCTACTCAAGTGGACGCAGGCTGGCCAAATCTGACCCGCAGAGACCTAATAGGTGGTCCACAAATCATTGCCACTTGTATTGTATTAAGGATTTTTCTATGATGCTGTGGCTCCCCGACCTCTACTACAATACAAAGATGTGTGCAAGTGGGACATGAATGACACAGGTATTGAGATGGACTCATGGGAACAAAAATGCCATGGATTGTGTTGTGTGGAGAGGGATTGGGGGGGGGGGGGGGGGGGGAGCACATCAGGAAGGGAACGAGAATGAAGGTAGAAATGATTGCAGAAAGGATGAGAGCTGAGCATCTGAGAAGAAACAGACTAAACACAAATGTTGACAATGGTCCTGAAATCCCATGCTGTAATTGTGGAAGACTTTTCTTAACGTGCGCTGGTCTTGCTAGTCACACTCGCCGTCACCATGGGCTGTGAGTCACATGCCTCTTCACAGCGCAATATAACACTATC